AATTCAACGGCGATTTTCTAGATTGTTGGAAATTCGATTTTCTATAAACTGGAAAATCCCCACGGAATTCCCATATGTACTCTTTGAAATTCGCCGAGCATTTTCCATAAATAATTTCCAACCTTACTGTGTAGGCATGCACCGGTTATAGGCGATTGAAATTGTGCACTGTTTTTTGCCAAAAGCTTTTTTCAACAAAAATTGATTCTCGAAAATTTTTCTAACAACTGGGTTGTCTAGATTTAATGTCTTGTTTTAATTTTGCAATAGGTTAGTTTTTTTGTCTGAGAATAGTCCATGAATACTTGAGGTATCTTTTAAAAGACACGTGTCACTATAGTCATTACTCGAACAGAGTATATAAATAAATACAATTTGCTTAAATTTAAAATCAGTGGAATAGATGTTTCACATATTGAACCGGAAACAACTAGAAAAAATATTTTTAGTTTTGTTTGCTGTTATACATACTATCAATACATTTGCCAGCATTATTAAATAATTCTATATAATTATTACATTAATGTTTTTGGATTTGGAAGTCTACGAGAATCTATGGAATCTCTAAACCCAAAGTCTTTTAGAGTCTCATGAAACCAAAGGGAATTCCGCAAAATCGCATATAAATAAATACTGATGAGTGATTCAAAAAATATTCAATGTGAGTACTAAAAGACTCACCATAAGTACTAAATTATTAGTAGTACTAATTTTAGTCTAAATGAATAAAAAATACTAACGATTTTTTATTAGTACTCTTTGTAAAACTAATGATGAGTACTAATATGAGTCCTTGCACTAGGGTACTAACTGACTATTGTTGTTTTCGTCTTCGTCTTTTTCTCGTGTTTGTATATTACTTTCCGTTAAATCTGTGCACATTATTTTGTTGGTGCTACAAAAGAAATTTTTGATTGTCATTTTCTGTCACAACCTGTCGTTTCTTTTATTCATGCCTGAGTTTAAACATCGTTCGAACTTTGTCTGAAGTCACTAGTTGTCAGAAAAAAAGACTTCCGACTAAAATTTCATACATTTGTTATGATGATTAATCGATGATTCTAATATACGTAGTATAGAGATCGAACAGGTTTCGTAAAAGCTCTAAAACTTATGCGGAACAAGGTGTGACAGCTAAGCTTTTAAGTACATGCACTTTCTCATTCTATTACATCTAGTATATTGACATGTGTCTTTCAAACTATTACATAACTGAATGAAATAGAAAGCAACATCTCAGGTATAAACGATTATACCTGTAATATCTCTCAAAAGTTTGCAAACAAAATGCATATTTCTTAGTTTTTCAGTCTGTTTCTTTTTGTTATTTATCATTAATCGGAATTTTGAATTAAGTAAGAAAATAGCGTTGTGAATAAATGGATCACAAAGAAAATGTACGATTACTTAAGCCTGATAATAGGATTCAAGGAAATTATGGAACAACCTCCCAGTCTAAAAATGATCAATCTGTTACACTTACATGGTCACATATTTCAGCTCAGATCCAAGTAACCTCTGGCAATATCTGTAAACGAAAAACATCAACAAAACAATTGCTAACTGATGTCTGTGGAATCGCTGCTCCAGGTATAGTATTCATTAAACTTTAGAAGACTTAATATCATTATTCCTATGCACTGTTTAGGTGATATGTTAGCAATAATGGGGTCATCTGGAGCTGGTATATCTCACAAAAAATGTTTTATTAGTTCTTTTCTTATTTTAATGTCATATATCTTTTCAAAGGTAAAACAACTTTGCTGAATGTATTGTCGGGTAGAAAACAACGAAATATGACGGTTGCCGGTGATATTCGCTTTAACGGAGTCTCAATAAGTTCATCATTAGCGTCACAATATGCCTATGTGGAACAGGAAGAGTTATTTATTGGAACACTGACAGTAAAAGAACATCTCATTTTTCAGGTTAGCAGAGATGAAAAGAGTGGCGAACGCTTGGAAACGAATGAAACTGCTTTCTCTCTTAAGGCAATGTTAAAAATGGATTCCTCAATACAAGATGCAGAACGTCAAAAACGTGTACAACAAGTTCTTAATGATTTAAATTTGAACAAATGTCAAAATACACTGATTGGTGTAACAGGAAAAATTAAAGGCATCTCAGGTGGAGAACGAAAACGACTGATGTTTGCAGCAGAAGCACTAACAGATCCGCCATTACTGTTCTGTATGTATAAATTTACTGTTCACAAATCATTTGATTTATGAATCTTTTGGACAAAAAAGGTGATGAACCCACGAGTGGCTTAGATAGTTTTTTGGCCAAATCAATCATAGATATAATGAAACAGTTTTCATTGCAAGGCAAAACAATAGTTACCGTTATACATCAACCATCAAGTAAGTTCTTTCTGACTACAACACTCTACTTTCAAATCGTTTGTTAAAAATGATTAGAAACTGTACACGATATCAAATGGTTAAGTAGAATGTCCTATTGAACAACTTACGATGAGTTCAAAACTTATAGTTCGTTCAACTACGATCTCTTCAATCTTTAATTCTTGTATAATTATCAACAATTTTTAGGTGAAATATTTTCGTCATTTGATACATTATGTTTGTTAGCTGAGGGCCATTTAGCTTATTTTGGTACTCGAGATAATGCAATACCGTTTTTCTCTGCAATGGGGCGAAACTTACCACCAAATTACAATCCGTGTGATTTTTATATTGAACAGCTTTCAAATAAATTGTCGCTGATCAGTAGTATGTCGGGGGCAGCGAATGATGTCGAACAGTCAGTAATAAAAATTGATCCATCGATAATGCAAATTATACAGGCTTATAAAGAATCAAATTTAAATAAACTTGTTCATACATCAATTGAACATATTGATCAAAACAGTGTATCAACGTCATTATCGAGAATCAATGGCTCGTCAGCATCACATAAGAAATATCGAGCGGGATTTTTTCGCCAAACGAAATGGTTATTATGGCGAAGTTTTCTATCATCATTTCGAAATCCCATGCGTACAAGAGCAGCAGTATTTCAAACAGTATTTACAGCAATAATTATGGGTGTTATATATTTAAGATTAAAATTGAATCAAGAAGGTATTCAGAATATTAATAGTATTTTATTTTTATTAATTACGAGTTCAAGTTTCAATAATATGTTCGCCGTTATAAACACATTTCCTCCAGAATTAAACTTATTTTATCGTGAACATAAAAGTGGAATGTATCGTGTTATTGTCTATTATTTTACGAAATTTCTAACTGATGTTCCGTACTTTATTATAATGCCATTTTTATTCACTACTATTTTGTATTGGATGTCTGGTATCAAAGATGATTGGAGGGATTATCTCTTGCTTTGTGGTGTCATTATTATAGTAGCCAATGTTGCTGCTTCATTTGGAACATTATTATCGTCACTGGCACCCAACACCGATACAGCTATAGCACTTTCAGCTCCACTTCTCGTTCCACTAATGATCTTCTCCGGGTTTTATTTGAATAATGCCTCAGTACCAATTTATTTCAAATGGCTGACATATATTTCTTGGTTTAATTATGCTAATGAACTTAATTTAATAATCCAGTGGCGAAACGTAAAAAATATCACGTGTAATACTCTTGGACCTTGTTATCATTCCGGTGAAGATATACTGGCATTTTATAAAGTAAAAGAAGATAAATTTTATTTTGACTTATCCATGTTATTCGCTTTATTTGTAGCATTCCGATTAATAGCATTTATCATATTATGGATTAAAGCTAAACGTGCTTGAGAAACGGTTTTTTTTTGTCTATCTTATGCAATTTATTCAATCATTGTACAAAATAAATTGAACAAATAAATAAACGTTTATCAATCACAGTAAAACTCTTACCGTTCTAAAATCCGCTCGATTTTCTATAAATTGACTTTTCTCATTTGCCAGAAAATCGATAAGGAATTTCTAAAAAGTTGGAAAATCGACAGCAATTTTCTAGTTTTTAGAAAATCGATCGTTTTTCTGTAAATAATTCCCAACATTCTAGAAAATCGACTCGATTTTCTAGATTCTACAAAATCGATTTCGATTTCCTATAAATAATTTCCAACAATAAACAAATTCCAAGATGTGTCGATTTTCCACATTATTGGAAATTCGATTTTCTATAATCTGAAAAATCCGTGAGGATTTTATATATGGACTTTTTGAGACTCGCCGAGCATTTTCTATAAATAGTTTCCTATTTTACAGTGTATATATATATCCTTCTGGGGTCATGACGTCTCTCGAAATTAGCCCTGGTAGCGATGTTACATAATATTAACTACCACAGCTCCATATGGACTGGACTGGGTCCATAGCCTAGTCTATGTGGACTGGGCTGGATTGAAAATTTTTTGAGGTCATGGACTTGGACTGAACTGATCTAGAGTTTTCTAGTCCATAGACTGGACTGGACTCAGAATTTTGAGTCCGTGCCAGAGATGTAACCGGTACCGCCAATCGGCCGGTGCGGTCCGGAATTGGAGTTGGAAAATCGACAGCAATTTTCTAATTTTTAGAAAATCGATCGATTTTCTATAAATAATTTCCAACATTCTAGAAAATCGACTCGACTGCCCCACGAACTGCACTTTTTTATTCCTTTTTCAGTCGTTTTTTCAAATTTATTACGAATATAGAAATAACATTTTACAAAAGTAATATATATTTTGATAGTGCTTGAAAGTCTCTATCATCCTGTACTTCGCCGGCCATGATTCACGATTATTTGCTGATAAATATTTCGAATATTGTTAGTGTACCCACATATCACATTTTCATAGGTTCAAGGGGGGAAATCTCATCTTATTTGTAACATCCCTAGTGGGTAGAGATGTGTGAATCACAACCTAACAATATATATGAATAACTTAGGGGAAAATCAGCAACACTTTAAACACATTTCCTCCAGAATTAAACTTATTTTATCGTGAACATAAAAGTGGAATGTATCGTGTTATTGTCTATTATTTTACGAAATTTCTAACTGATGTTCCGTACTTTACTATAATGCCATTTTTATTCACTACTATTTTGTATTGGATGTCTGCACTACTGTCCTCTTTCTTTGCTTACATCATACAGTAAAACTGTTACCACTTAACTCTTTCATATGCTTGCTTCTAGTCATTACCCGTGACCGCTACAAAGTCACTACTATAGTGAAAAAAGAGTAGTGTAGTGTTGCTTTTTCCCCCTTGCATAGATTGCATTCCATGCTTCTTCAACTAATTCTTCTTTTTTTACACACTACGAGAAAGAGCACATTCAAAAGTACAAAAAGAACTGAATTCGCACTTTTGCAATCCTTTTTTACGGAAATAATATCAGAAGAAAAAGATTCAAGTAGAAATAAATACCAGATTTTCAAAGTCTTCATTTTTTTCGTGTTTCGTATAATCTACATAGTTTTCTTGATTGACGTTCTGAAATTAAAGTTATGTATGGTTTTGTAGAGTATTTCGTGGCGCATCTTCTTAAGAAAAACATTAATGTTTGGGTCCAAAGAAAGACGAGAAAAATAGAAAATACTGAGAGACCGCACCCATTACAATTCCTGGAAATGATAGATGGCGGAGGGGTGGGAGGCATTAACAATATTCAACATTTTTTCCAGGAAAAAATTTCGAATACAGGTTGGAAAAGCAGAGACTAATAGAGAATTTCAAGCGCTATCAGAATACACAATTACTTTTCGAAAAATATATTTCTACATATATAATAAATTTAAAAAATCGACTGAAAAAAAACATTTATTCCCAGGCGGATATATAGATTATAGAACTGAGCTAAAATACTAAAAATTATCGCACTATAACTAGAAAATAGAAATATTGCAACTCAGACATGCTTGTTCAACACTATAGTGCGCAAATTACTAAAAGTCATATCGCTTCTTCTTGTTTAAACTTTTTCCTTTTTTCTATCTTTTCTTCTTTCTTTTTTTTTGTGTAGCGGGGTGATTTGGTCCAAGTTTTTTGTTAAACTTTTTATCACCGCCTTGTCAGTTTTTAAGATCATGGACTAAATAAATTTGACTTGACTTGACTTGACAATACACGTCATCTTTAATCAACACAGAAATTAATGAACAACGTGTACACGAATTTATTCTCTATTGCCGGCGACGTAGCTGAGTTCTTACTAAAACATATTTGGTACAATTTTGCAATAATTTTCTGAACTGAAGCAATAGAAGAATTTCTTTTACTGACGATCTTTTGTAGAAAAACATAAAACTGTTCTGCCGGCAAAAACTGAAAATTTTCAAAAGCAGCGCATCAAGTTTTTCTGAAATTGTAAGAGTGTCGTAATTGGACTGTTGAGACCTATATATAAGCATTAAACATGAGGGCAATCGAACCATTATCAGAGAGCAATGTAGCCAGACGATCTGCCATAAACTCGTTATTGAAACCTACTCTACCTACGATTAGATCCATTAACTAATAAAGTGAGAAAACCGATTGCCACCACAGTGTTGAAAAAGACATTCTACTATTTTTATTTGAAGTCTTCATTGTATATAAAATGTACTCAAAATGACCTTTCATTCTGAAAATACTTACTCATTAGGTATGCACCGGTATCGGTATACCGAATACCGAAAACCGAAAATACCGACTTTTTTTTACCTGGAATTTTTTGGATTTTTTCATTTGAAATGAGGTATTTTAGCATCCTGAACAAGCAGAACGTATAAACAACACTCAGCTGGATATTTTGAGCATGCGCAGATCGAAAAAAAAGAAAAACTTTGACTTTAGAAAGCAAACAAGCTCTTGTTTTCCGTTCGTGATTCATTCTGGGTGTCCAGGACGCTAAAACATCTCATTTCAAATGAAAAAATCTAAAAAATTCCAAGTGAAAAAAGTTGATATTTTCATTATCGGTATATACCGGAGTTCGGTATTTTCGGTATCGGTATTTCGGTATGAATACCGATACCGATGCATACCTATTACTCATTCAATTTTTACTCATCGAGCTTCATTTTATAAACAGGATATATAGGTCAATATGTACATTTATGTATTATCAATGTATCTTCTTAGTATTTTTCCTTCTCATTCGTTTCATACATATAAGAAACACATGCATACGATAACATATCTATTGACTCTTTTTCGCATTTTCCAAGTTAGATGTGACACCTAGGAAGAAAAAAAGGTGAACTACGACGCCTCTATCGGACGACGATAGATGAAAAAGACCTTAAAAAAAATACCATATATATTTTACACATTATACATATATACGTTTGATGTCGCTAGTCTAACCAGAAACACATACACTCACAACACATGATGAACAATTCAATTTTTTTAATTTTTCTTGTTTTTCATGTTTTTGTACAAACGGAACAAGGACCATTGAAGCAGAAAGCTTTGTTACAACGTAATGCAAGAACAGCAAACGACACTACCGAGGCTCCATCGAATCCATGTTCGTTATCCGATGAACAAATTAATCAAAGTTACAATTTAACTTTGCATATCATTTCTATCTTCGTTATTCTAGTTGTATCTTGTCTTGGTGCATCGTTTTCGGTTGTTACAACACGCATTAGTTGCTTACATGTGAGCCCTATTATTATTAATGTTGGAAAATTTTTTGGAACTGGTGTTATTCTTGCCACAGGCTTCATTCACATGTTACCAGATGCCAACGAGGCATTGACCGATCCATGTTTACCAGATTCATGGAATATTTATGGGGCTTATGCAGGACTCTTTGCAATGCTTGCTGCATTAGTCATGCAATTGACCGAATTTATTGCACATTCGAGATATCGACGCCTGGAAAAAAAGAAACAAAAAGAATGTAAAAAAAATAATATAGCACCAATTAGCCATACACATAATCACGATGATGTTAAAGAATATGTAAACAGTGAGAAAAAAGATTGTCCTGAAGAACAATATCAGCAACAATCAGGAACATCAACCGAAATCACTGTGGCTGCTGATGAAACAGAAATCGAAAGCGCTCACAGTCATGGTGTCGTACTTCAAGAAATGCAACAGCATAAAATTTCAACATACTTATTGGAAATTGGTATTGCAATGCACAGTGTGTTGATTGGAATAGCGCTTGGTACAACAAGTGGTTCGAGTTTCGTCGCTCTATTTATTGCTCTCGTCTTTCATCAGTTCTTTGAAGGTGTGGCATTGGGAGCACAAATTGCTAAATTAGAACAAAAATCAATAATTCCAGCTGTTATTATGGTAGTATTTTTTGCTCTAACAACCGCTGTGGGCATAGCCATCGGAGTCGGAATTCATCAGGGAACATATAATCCAAAATCAGTCGCCTCTTTACTAGTTAATGGAATATTTGATTCTATTTCAGCCGGTATACTGATTTATGTTGCATTAGTCAATTTAATTACAGCTGAATTTTCCAATAGTCAAACATTTTATGCTCTACGAATAAGACTAAAAGTTTTATACTATGCTAGTCTGTATCTCGGTGCCAGTTGTATGGCCATAGTAGGTAGATGGGCATGACACTCAAAGTGTCGTTTGTGTGTATTTCATTTTCAATGCTTATATCTTTATTACGTTGTCTTAACTTTTGACTTACAATGTCGTGTTAAATTTAATTTACGTATCCTATGTATATTTAATAAATGTTAATTATAAAAGTTATTTCTCTGGTATATCATCTCATAGTTTGAGCACACAAACTCATGGAATAAAGCCCACATTCGAATAATAACCAATGAAAGAAACCTACATGCAAAAAGCAAAAACTATTTGCAAAAAATATAGAATCTAACACATTACTCACAAAGACGAGCTGTATCAATGTCGAGAGAAAAACCAGTGAAAGAGAAGTGTAATTTTGTTGAGAGAAAAGACGCTGAGACAAGATACTCAAAAGAAACGGCTTAATAAGGGAATTTTTTTCTTCTAATGGAATGGACTCCTCCGGTCGGCATGAGCCTCAATATGCGAATAATGGAGTATTTATATGCATTGTCCGTTGAAGGGTGTTTTTTATTCTCATGATACATTGCATTATAGCACAAAGTTGCCATCATATAGCTCCCCTGTAAAAATGTTCCAGTTGCGAAACATAAAAAATATCATCACACATGAATGCACATTTGAGAAAGACATGCATTAATAAACAATTCAAGGACAAAATTATGCGTATTTTGCTTTTTAAAGGGGGATAAGCTAGAATGTGCACTTAAATTATACGACGCAAAAAAACAAATCACGCGAGCCTTTTGCAATTGATAAACATGTTGCTTTAAGTCAAACATAAATTTCCACTATGAACTATTAATTCAACATTGAGAAACCGTGTCAGTAATAAAGAAATGGACTATGTGCTTCAGCAACAAAACTGATGCTTAATTTCACTCAATACTAGAAAATAGCACAGCAAAGATTATTACTACCAGAGATGGGCAGCTCCGACTCCGGAGTGGCCGCTCCACGGAGTTAGCTCCGCTCTGGAGCGAAGCTGAGCGGAACGGTTGATGAAAATCACTGGAGCTGGAGTAAGCGTTTTATGAGACTCATGAAGCCGGAGCGAAGCGCTTCCTAAAAACTATGGAGCTGGAGCGGAGTCGGAGCGGCTCTTTCTTTTAGCGCTCCGCCAATAGATCCATTTTCCCCTTCGTGTTCTGTATACGATGATAGATCCATCAGTCAGAGGAAAACTTATCGTTGACTATTCATCGCAGTCGATATTTCTTTGTCGTATTTATAATCAGTCGCAGTAGTGTATCTTTCACATCCGCTCCTGTGGAACGTGTGTTTTCTTCCGATGGGATGTTCAGGCGATCCCATGTCAGTCAACTTTCTAAGAACATATTCGCTATGTTGACTCTATTCAAATGCAATCGACACTCCCCTATTTCCACTAGTCTTATTTCATGCTGTAGATCAAACTGTGGTCTAAAACTATTGTACATAAAAAATTTTCGTGTTGATCTTCCGTA